CCTTAATTAGTGGCATAATGACTGAAAATAAGTTCAATGAGTCCAGAAACTCTGCATCTTTTTTCATCCTCACTGAAGGAGCAACACAAAGTGATGATGGATATCATCAGATGCAGTTTTATGACGGATCCCTTGTGGAAAGCTCGAGGCCTTTCTCGCTGATCTCACTGATACAAACATCAGAGGGGCAGCCAGATGATTTCCCATCCCCATAATACAAATTGGTCTGACTTTAATAGCCGACGCGAGCTGAAATGGGGGGATTGTTGTCCAAAGGGTTGATAGTGATGAGCAATTAGAGGAGCAGTGATGCTTTTGAATAAAAGCTTGGCAGTCTGCTGGCTAGCTATAATGGTGTGTCACGTCCATAATAACAATAAGGAGCCAAAGCAGCCGCCGTGATGTTTGCACAGACGTTGCTGTGGAGTGTTTGTCAAGTTGTTTTCTTGCTGCCGACCACTTGGTATTAGTTTATTGATTATTATAGATGGTGGCAGTTCCTATGATAATTGCATATCTAGTCACACTGTACAGATACAGGTGAAAACACATTTTCTACTTTTCTTTTTGCATTATACACAACGTGCAACTCGAACACAATGAAGCGCTGGTGTCAGTTTTACAATAAGTGACAAAACAGCAAAGTAACAGCAACAAATCCTGACAAGGTAATGCATATGAAAGGAATGTGTGTTTTCTGTATTAGAGACATGTTTATCAGTGTATGTCCTTCATATGCTGAACAAAGCGTGATGTTTGTCCCTGGATTTATACCACTATAGCCTTGTGAATTCTTACAGTAGATACTTGTATTCTCATCCGAACAATGCATTCACACCGATGATGATAGAGTTGGTTGCAAACAAATATCCTTTCCCTTTACTTTGACAATATAACCACAGTAAAATATATTTATCTGCTGTTTAGCATGAATTTCCCCTCAGAAAGCAATGCATTTTCCTCATAGGAATATCAGCGTTTGTTCAAATAACACTATTTAGTATTGTACGAACAGATAAGTTGTTTACCTGAGAAGAAAACGAGGCGCCTACTACTTAGTTAAATACGTAATTGCAAGACAAACAATTCTAACTTACTGCTTTAAATAAACCTTTAAATTTTCAAACTTTTTAATGGGTTGGTTAGACAGAATAAGGGTGGTATTTGCGTCAATTTATTATATTGTGTCTAGTTTAAACTCAAACTTCTGCATTACCACAACTAAACTCAAGTTGAGGTAACTTAATTAAATTGGCTTGATAACCGAATTCTTTTCCAGTTCAGGATTTCAAATTCCCACATTCTATCCACTGTAGGCTCAACAAATATGATACAAACGATATTTCAAGGTAAGAATCATGTATTTTACAAATAAATTCCCCGAAAGCAATTACTTTGGGAATATTGTCAATTAGGCTATGATCAAAAGTGCACTTTGGTATGACGTTTTGGCAGCAGCTGCTAATGCCATTGATGCTATGTGATGTATTTCTGCACAAAGCTAATGCTAGTCATACTGAGCAGTGAAATTTGGCCATGTTACCCTTCAGTTTGTCAAACTTGTGGCTAAGAATAATACAACCTCATGTTATAAATCTGCTCAGCCGGAGAAAGCGTTTCGTGATTTGGTGTAATTTGTAGGGTTATTAAAATTAATTTGGTTTGTTTTGGGGTTTTTTTTCTTTCAAGAATTGAATGTGACATGTTCAGCTGCAGGTCAAAGAATTTTGTTGCTGTATTAATTTCTTAAAATCTACTGCATGGATGAAGACACAAAAAAGACAATAACTATAGGAGAAAATCAAATAGGAATTTTTTTATTATTATTATTATCCGTCAAGTTATGATAAATAAGTATGTTACACAATTTTATTTTGTTTTAATAATGTGGGGATTTATTTATTTATTTATTTATTTATTTATTTTTAAGCAACCTCATTTTTATGAGTAATCAACTCAAAAACTTTTGTTTATGCTACCAATCAATAAATATCCTTAATTAAAGAGGAAAACCTAATTCCCAGAATTCAGTTTAGTTTGTTGGTCGAACATAATTTCATGAGAAGTTGCCTTGTCTCAAAAAGATTGATGCAAACTGTTGCATTCATTTTTTGTTGTTGAATCCAAGCATTATTTTTGCACAAAACCTCCCGAATGTCACTGTGGGGGATTTCTTTCTAGAGAAGCCATGTTCCCTTTCGTTAAGTCTTTGCCTTCCCCTGCAGCACATTAAGCCTTCCCTCTTTTCCATGTGAACAGCTGGTGTGTGGCTCCAGTCCTGTTATAATACATGAGTGCTTTAGGAGTGACAATTTGCCTAATTTATTGCTCATTCTTCAAAATAAAAAAAAAAATAAAAAAAAGAAATTGGCTGGGTGAAGCTGTGGTCGCTGGCAGGACTTTGGCTGCATTTCTAGTTGAAGCTGTGATGCCACTGACAGATCCAGCTGTCCTCTAATGAGCCTGTTTGAGTCGGTGGGGCTTTTATCAGATGTGGCAGATGTGTACAATACACCACAGGAGTTCAGAAACACCATTTCAGCGCAAAGCTCAGCCAGTGTGATGGTAATCGCGCACACAAATGCAGTTGGTGCTACGCCCATTATAAATTGGTGTGTCACTGCCAGAATCACAAGAGCTTAGCCATTTGATACAGTGCAAACTTTGATAACACCTGAAAGACTTGATAATAAGCTTATTTGAATATCGGTGTGGAGAAGTCAAGCTTTGCAGATAAAAAAAAAAAAAAAACATAGAAGACTTATGTTTATCAGCAAAGACTCATTAAAAGTTGCCCCACCACCATATCCGTCCATCCCGTTGTGCAGCTTCCTACCTGACCCCGCCTGACCCCAGCGGGTTTCCCACTAATGGCTAGGAGTGAGGGGAAAAGTAATTCCAAAAGTTTTCAACTGCAGCAAGTGAGATTTTTATGACCTCACTGCACAAAAATATCCATAGTTTATCTGTCGTGGCTTAAGCTGTGTGTCCATAACAATGGCTTGGTTATAATCTTCTGAGGTGTTCTGATTTTGTGGCTTTGAGAATGTACTTTTTTTCTTTTTTTTTAATTCTATTGCAAAAGGCGACACATAAGCGGTGCCAAAGTTCTTCCTGCTGCTGCAGTAATTCCCTCAGTCACTCGTGCAGTTTAATTAAGTCATAAATGGCTTAATTTCCTCTCAGCTGCACTTTGTGAGAAGAATCCAATATGGGGAGATTATAACATGTCCAGTGTGTAAGGAGAAAAAAAGAATAATTGACAAATGACATGTTGTAATCAGATCATAAAGTGTTATGCATGTAGTGGCACTTGGTCAATGTTTGCATCATTAATATGAGATTTCTTTTTCCTGGAAACATGTGGAAATGTCCATTTTGTTTAAGTAGAGTCTTTTCCTTTTATATTTTTGCACATAGGTGAGATCAAATGTTCATTTGAATGATCCACCAAGGTAGGTGAAGTCTGATCTGATTAACATTTCATTGCAGTTTCTGCATGGATACATCATATTATAATTCCAGAAAATCATCTCTGTAAATCATTTACTGCTTAGAGACGTAAGTTCTCGTATTGCCTTAAAAATGTGACTTAACCGCAGATAGGTTAATTAATTATTTCAAAGTTGTTTAATGACTTCCAAAGTGTAAAACTAGCTGAGTTTAAAAAAATAAAATTAAATTAACATATTAAGTTGAGTCAACTAGTCACAAAGACAGACTGACTGGCTGGCTTTACTTTTACATTTTCTAAGTTTCTGCTTTATTTAACATTAACAACTTACAACCTTAATGTCAAAGCCATCCACAAAAACTACCTATGAGGCTGCTTCTGGTTACATTGAGTAAATTATGTAGATATGTGGATTTTGGGATTGAATTCAGTACTAACCTCTGTCACTTGTATTTTATTTAAACGAACAAAAATGTAATAAAGACACAAAACAAGTTCCACAATGTACACTCTAAAAGGTAATACTTATGCTTACTTGAATCACAGTAGTGTACTTTACTTATTTTTTATTTTCCTGTTCATTTAACTCATGGGCTGTATGTATGTACTCATTTTTCCTTGAACGGTTATAAAACTAAGTACACTGGAGTAAACTGGACTTGAAACCTTCTGTTCCTGGACTGAACACAGAGTTCAGCAGTGTAGAGTAAAGAAGTGCAGGAGAAATTTCCAGAAACTTTACAGGGCGGCTGTGGCTCAGGTGGTAGAGTGGGTTGGTCAATGATCGGAAGGTTGGCAGTTCGATTCTGCCCTGTGTCATGGTCGCTGTGTCCTTGGAGGGGCCGTAGGCGCAGAATGGCAGCCACGCCTTTGTCGGTCTGCCCCACAGCTGCTGTGGCTGCAATCGTAGCTACCACCACTGGAATGAATGTGAGTGAATGAATCATTGATGGTATTGGTATTGATGGTCTTTCAGTGTCTAGAAAAGTGCTATATAAATCTGATCAATTACTATTATTTAAGTTTCTAACACTTGGAAAGTTCATTATACTTGCTATTTTTAAGTTCCCAAAATAAAGTAAATACAGCTACATTTTAAGTAAACTTTTCAAGTAGATATGAAGTGAAGTGAATTTAATGGTTATAATTACTTAGCTTTTATGAGTTCAACCAGTTTCCTAGAATTGTTTAAGAAAGAGCAACTTTTCACATTTTACAGTGTACAAGCTGATGGAAAACAGGACAGTTCATAAGGAAGAAAAAGTGAGACTTTCAACAACTTAAGAGTTATGGGAAGTGGAAATGTGGAAAGCCCTGGTTAATAATGAATGAAGCACCTCAACTGATGGGCAGTAAAAAAGCGATGGCAACACCCATCTCCTCCATCAGGGCCTTGGGTCAATGAAGAAAACATTAAATGCTACTTTTATGCACCATATAAATAGTTTCCACTGCAACGATAAATAATCCTAGGCGGCATCATAATCACAAATAAACAGAGGCCAGTGTGGATATTTCTCATCTAAACTATTGTCGAGCCAAAACATTGAGTAGAAAAGTTTTATTACAGTTTTCACAGAATGCAAAATCATTTTTCATTAACCAGTTATTTATATATTAAACATTTTTAAAACTGAAGACAAATGTGCCCCGTCATCATTCAAGCAAGCCAAACCATCAATTGGGCTGACGACGTTGCGGCAGTCGGTCTTTTACGACCTATCGCTCCCGTACAGCAGCCGGAGGAATTCAGTGCTGTTTGCGTTTTTAGCTAATTCAGCCTCGGCTTAACGTCCCTTTCGATATCATGCATTAGCTGATTAGCTGCTGACTGCAGCTGCAGTACCATAACAGATCTTAAACTGGACACTAACTCAAGAGCAGAATTAAATGTGCTGACAGTGTTTCTGGAGGATTTAATGATCCTGTTAACTTAATGACATCATACAACAAAGAAACACGCACAAAAAAAGGCATTTGTTAAAGCTAGGCACGTGTTCTGGGGAAAAGGTGTATGAAATCTAATTAGAACTAAAGTCTGATTCGAGATTTTAAAAAAACATCAGTGATTGAAAACTAATCTTAATTATAAACATGCATTAGAGTTAGGAATCAAAACCCCTATAAAAATTAAAGAACCCGGAACTGTGTAAAAACATTAATAATGACAATATTATGAATTGGCAGTAACCAGACAAACTGGTTATTTCAACATATCGGACATACAAAACCTACAAAAAAAAAGAAAAAAAAAAAACGTTTTGAAAGGTTCCTTCAGCAGAAACATGACAGACATGCTGTAATGCACTTGAATGGATTTCACCGAATGGAGAAGACCTGCTTGCAAAAGGATCATAAGGTAGCTCCAAACACTGGGTGGTAGATTAGCTTTAGCTCAACAGCCACAGATTCACATTCTGCAGAAAGACACTGAACCTCCGTTCAAAGTTTCTGTATTTCGTAGGTGCTTCTCATCACATTACACTGTCGATTCAGCCACTTAAATGTACTGGCGGCCTCATTTTCTAGTATGGAAAACACTGAAGGCCAAATATATTTAAATGCTGAGGTTTTTAAACCAGCTGTGACAGGCAAGTAGAGAGTGTAAACTGTGTGAAGCTTTTTTTTGACTCAGATGAATCACCCGCAAGACTGACTGCCTTGGAAGGTTTCATACACAAGTTAGAAAACACAGATTTAGGGAAAAAACATTCAGATACAGCTGTTCTCTCTTTAACCACATGCAACTTTGGACCTCAAAGGCTTTTATCGATTTTGTGAGATGGTTTAATCAAAAACACTGTATAAAAAGTCCCAACGCTCAGAATTCGGTCAGTCCAACATGTCCTAAAGTCCCTCAGTGTCAGTAATGCACAGCATAGCCCTCAAGAGTAACAGTTAGAGGCAACCTCACATGGCGTGTTTGTGGGGATTCGTATCACCAATGGTGATGTTTTTTGTTTTTGTTTTTTTTGTGAAAAATCCTTTACAGTTAACACCATGTCCATTTTCTCTGTGGCACAGTGAGCTCTGGTGGGCTCCGGTGGAAAAGCAGCAGCAGCAGCAGCAGCAGCACCGTCGCTACCTGGATGCATCTGGGATGAGTCTCTTGAACCAGCGGCTCACGGCCACGTCTACTCTCAGCACCAACGTGACCCCGATCAGCAGGAACACGCTGCTCACCAGGAACCCCGAAGCCTCGAACATTAACCTGGAAGGACAGAACAGAGGAGATGTAAAAGGCTGGACATTTCCAAACAAGTTCCAACTTATTCAAACCTTACACCTCTCATTGGAATCAGAAATTCATCATCTCTAATAAGCTCTGTGCCAGTAGCAGCTGTGCAAAGACACCCACACCACAATTACCAATCGTGAAATTCAGCTCCAAAACACTATTTTGCAATTTTGATGGTTATGAAACAAGTCATTTGTTTTAGTTTTAGTTTGCACATTAATTACCAGCACAAAAAAAGATAACCACTGAAAGAAAAACCACAAATTCTACATGCAAATAAGTGACTATTGCAATGGAAAACCTGACCTGCATTCACTAATGTGCATTTACTGAACAATCAAAATAGAGTTAGTGGTTGGCAGTTATACTGTGTCCATATCCTGAAAAGGCTTTACTGTCAGTGAGTTGGTGTGAGCTGGAAAATCCATTCGGGCACTTACTTGGGTGCGAAAACCTTCCACACCATTAGGTGTCTCCTGAGGATAGCAGCTGCACAGACTGAAGCAAAGACCTGTGAAGAGAGCAGAGGCACTGAGCTGTGTGATGTGATACTGATACACATTCAAAAGCAAACCTGAGCTACAGAAATGACACGAAAATAGGATACAACACAAGTTGAATTTACTGAGAAAAGATTAAACTCCAGTTCAAAGATTAGCTGAACAACACGCTTTAGAATGGGAAGCAAATGTGATAATTGTGGGATTCTTGTATGTGTCATCCCATCTCAGTCCTCAAACTTCGACAACAATTTCTGGGCAACCATTTCTAATTTGCTTGAAAATTTAATAGCATAAAATATTGGTATTTATAAGAATATCTGTGAAATCTTTGCTTGATTTAGTAAATACTTTGTGAGATGATTTTTTTTTTTAAATGGCTGTCAACCCCTTTCTACACCTTTTTTTTCGCACATTCGAATTTAACAATATCCTAAGAACTTATAAATATAAAAAGCCTTAAAATTTCAATTTTCAATATGACTTCAATTTGTTTTCAATAGTTTAACTTACTCATACTCAGACACTGTTTGATCTATTTGTCCAAAATTGCAGAATCTGAATCAATGACATGATTAGAAATAACCGTAAAATTGTAGAATTTTATCTGTAATACTTCCTGAGATATCGTCCTTTTGACACGGCCTCAAATATCAAAGAGTGAAAAAAAGTGCTCAAAGTGGGTCAACTGGCATTTTTATCTCAGAAAGCATTTGATTTATAAAGCTAAGATTTTACAGATACCATTTTAAACATAGATAGTTTATGATAAAAAGTTTCGAGCAGGTCAGAAGGGGTTGAGCAGATGATTTGAGATGGAATAACTTGTATGGGAATCTGTACAAACAAACCTGTGCTCCATGAATAAAGAGGTAGCGTGTTGATAGTTGTAGAAGAGCAGAGCTGAAAAGCTGGGGGTTTTCTCTCAGCCTCATCTCCATCACGGCATCTTCTCCTTCCTCCCCGCAAGCTCGTCCTCCTCTGCTCCCACGTACTTCACACACCAGGGGCCAGAACAGCAGCAACGGACAACCCACTGAAGATGATGAGACAGGGACACAAATAGAAATCATTTCAAGCGCCGAGGAGACAATCCTTCACATTAGTCGCTTGATTTTGTTTGATTTCTTTTTTAGATTAATTTCCTTTACGCTAGGTTTTTGTATTTTTCCGTCATGATGTGACATTTTGAGCGTGTTTTATGCTTCAACAAAAAAAAGATGACTGTGTGATCTGCTTTATCAAACAAGCTTAACTGGCTGATGCAGCTGCCACGTAGGTTCAATGAGATTCTATGTATTTGCAACTGTATTATGTAGGCTTTTGGGGGCCAACTATAAATTTGAATATGCTTACTTACCAGTTGTAATAATCCTAATTGTTGGAAAGCCCGCGTTATTGTATGTTGTTGTCTTTTCTTAGTTATGTGGCATTCATTCAGTGTCATTCGTTAATTCTTTGTTTGCATTGTAATTTGTATTTTTCCCACGTTATTGAATGCATCAGAGTTGTACTGACTTGAATGCACCTCACCCGTAGCGAGATGCTGTGAGAGCCGTTAGCTTCTCACGTCAGGTAGCTGCCGATAGCGGATGGGTTTTTCCAGGCTTGTTTGAGTCCATCCACCTGTTTCTTTGAGTTATTGCTGTGTGTAAATGCCAAAAGGTGAGTTTGATGATGTTGTGTTATAGACTAAGCATCAGACTGGATATTTGTTAATTTCATGTCTAAGATGGACTAAGTGCTATGTGATCCACTATGCTAGTACGCTACGTTATGTTGATTATAAGCCTCGCGATCGCGGGAGGTGGTTTATCTGACTAGCTAATACAGTTCTTTCTTGTAATATTTGTTGTACAACTATGTCTTTATGTTGAAGTATTTGCTTGTGCTTGTGGTATTAATAGCTTTTATTTGTTTGTATTCTTATTACAGACCGCAGCTGAATAACTCAGTAAAATCTGAACCAGGAGTCCATTTCCGTGTTCTCTAACCGGGACACACACATCCATACTCTACTGCTCTAAACCAACTAGTTTCCAGGAGAAACCACATTCTCCGTTTTATGGTCCTTCGAGCCAGATTAGAGCATCAATTAAGGTATGGAACACACAGATACGGACTCCCAGGTTGAATCTGCACCCCAACACACTTCACAGAGGGAACGACGCCACCCAGCATATCCAGCTGACGATGTGGTTGCAACTCTCCCTCCTGAGGGACAACCCCAAACCACTCAACCGGCTCCCTCCTCCCAGTGTTCACACATTGAGCGGACGCACTCATCATGGAGGAGCTCCAGTTTTAGATCCACGCGTTCAATATGCTCATCCATTGGCAGATTCCCCTCAAATGTTCTCTCAGAGCTAGAAACAGCTCAGCTTGAAGAACGACTGAAGCAAGTGGAGCTCGAGGAGTTGCAGCAGCAGCTGGAAGAGGAGAAACAAGCCGAACTCGAATGTCAACGACTCCAAGCCCAAGTCAGAGAGGCCCAAAAGCTACAAGAGCAAGCCCTCAGAGCCAGAGAATCACTAACCAAACAGCTAGAACGACGACGACGACTAAAGAGCAGAGAGAATGAGCTGGAGATGGCCAAAATGGTCACGTCTCTCCCTAAAGATAAACCACAGGAACCCAATGGTGATAGAGCCTCACCTTCCCCCTTAGATAGTGGAGAGGCAGACAACCATCCAGCTCCTCCTTCAGTGTTGTCGGCTCCACCTACAGGGACGTCGGCCCCGCCTACAGGGACGTC